TCTTAGTGAACCTCAACGGCGATGTCCTCGTATCACATTTTCTTAGAATGGTGATTGCAAATTTGATAGGTGTGTTGACTTAGGATCCTTCTTGAGTTGCCCTGGACAGCTCTTACGAGCTACGGTTGGGATGTGGGCGGTTTCATGTAATTAATTGCATTGGTACAATTAATTACTCTCCATTATCATTTTAGGGTTTTGTTAGGATCCTGTCCAGTTATCATCGAACTCGTTGACATCTTGAGTTGAGTTCTCTATTGATGTCTCGTAATGGCTAGTGTTAGAACTATCCATTGCATTATTGTTTCATTTTGTGTGGCGTTAGGATTCCACCTTGGGTAGGAGCTGATCTTGGGAAGTACTTGCTGACCCTATGTCTCGGGGACCTTAGTGGTCATTTGGGGGATGATTCATTTCCTCGTAGTGAGAGATTGGATTCATCCAGCTTCGGTTGTACATTTTTTTCGTGGTGTCTTTCGAGAGGCATTCGTTTCTTTTGATTTTATGAACTTACCATTTGTATTATCCCTTTTACATGTTTATGAGCCCATTGTTTTAGGGCATGCCTTAGAAACATGTTTAGGATATATGACTATGTGGTAGTTGTATGAGGATATAGATGATATGTTTTCAAGTATAGTATCTGTTTAGCATGTTAGTACCGTCAGCGGTGTGTAACGTGTCGTTATTTATTTGACCCCTATGTGATAAGTGGCATTGTTTCATTTACCTTAGATGTACTGTGTGCTTAGTACTAAGGTATTATTTAATTTATGCAATTTAATTTTGCGAGTATGTGCTATGTGAGTACCTGGTTGTCCTATTTTATTTTTCCTGCACTTATATTAGGGCCTTGTGACCTTGGTTGTTGGGATTGTCATGTAATGACCCAGTCATTTTTCTTCCTTTCCTTTTTCTTAGATTTTTACGGATATTTTTTTTTTTCCGTTGTCTTTTCTTTTCTGTGTTCGGTTTCTCATCACTTAGTATCATCTTGAGTGCTCGGGAATGGTTTTCGATACTCTTTCTTTGGATTGACGACTTTCTTTGAGGACTGAGTCATTTTCACATTTTCACTTTTATGACACTATTTACTTTTTGTCTTTTTCCCGTTTGTCACTTTGTTGGCATAACCTCACTTTTCGTGTTTGGATTTGATTCTAGTTTTGTATGCATCCATGATATTTAAATTTCATGCCATGTGTATTTTTACTTTCTTAGAAAAGCATGCTAAGTGTTTACTTTTCTTGTAAAGGGTATGAATGCATAACTTTTTGTAATATTCTTAACTTGTGGAGTTTTAGTATAATTAAATAAAGTAATTATTTTTTGTCTTGGGGACTATTTTGTAATTTAATTTGAAAGATATTTTAGAAAAGGACCTTTTCGCAATTTTTGGAAAGTGTGACAAGTGTCACACTCTCATTGGTTTACTTGTTGGCATTTGTGTGGGGACACTTTGATGCCTTGGATGATGAAATATGGAGGGTGGAGATTGAACCACTTGTTGACCTAGGATAGGTGCACTTGTTAACTTAGATGGATGACAAGTGTAGGCTTAGGATTAAGCCCACAATGGATGCTTGGATGAGTGACAAATGTATGCTCCAAATTATGTCTTGTAATTATTTTTGGGCTACTATGGGATTATGGTTTTAAAGGAGGGTTTTTGTGCAATTGACCTTAGATGTGTGTGTTGACTATAGTGTAGGATCACATAGTGAGTGGAGGATTTCTATTTCCTCCACTCACACTTTTTCACATTATGTCATTACTTTCCTCACCATAAACCCTAGCCTCCATGGATGAAGCTTAAAGCCTTAAGCTTTGACTTTGATTTTTGAGAGCCTTCCATTGATTTCCAAGCTTAACATTGGGAATACGTTTTTGTTCATCTCATCCTCCTCTTCATAACCCTTGAAGGGTTTGCCATTTTGTGTTGATTTGCCTTGGATTCAAGAGGAACAATCCTCTTATGAGGTAGGGGATGTTATAATTTATTTTCCAAGTGTTTTACTTGCTTTTGTATGAAATATAAGTTGTATGCATATCTTTTGTTAATTTGAGAAATTAATGATGTTTCATAGATTACGTATAACTCACTTTAGACTTGGTATATGGCATGGCCATGACATGATCTTTGTTATATATTAAATTAGAATGATCTAAATAAGTTTTCAAATCTAGAGATTAAATGAATTTAATTTGATTTAAATTCTAGTTAATTGTGTTTTGCTTGTATCCTTTTTTAGACTTGATATATGGTATGACCATGACTTAGTGCTTGATATATATTAATTTGAGATCATTTGAACAACTTTTGAAATCTAGAGATTTAATTGATTTAAATTAATTAAATTCTATTTGATGATATCTTACTCATTTTACACTTTTGATTTGATATATGTAATGAGCATGCTATGTTGTTTAACATATATTAATTAGAGGTTATTTGAATTTGATTTGAAATTTAGAGAATTTAATTATTTGTTTAATTAAATTATATCTAGTGGCTCCATGGATCTATTTGTGTTTTAGAAGTTGTTTCTATATTCAAATCATGGACTTGGACTTGTTGTGTATTCACTTGGTTATGTTTTGAGTATTGGATAACATTGTTGTTCTCGTCATCCACCTGGCTCAAACACTCAATCACTCGCACTCGCTCGCGCTTATCACTTATTTGGTAGTGTCTCTCGCTATTTACCTGGCTCGAACACTTACTCGGTCTCAAACTCTCGCACTCGCTCGTACACTCACTAGCACTCTCTCATGCTTATCATTTACGTTGTAGTGTCTCTTGCCATCCACCTGGCTCGAACACTCACTTATACTCGCTCGTGCTTATCGCTTATTTGGTAATGTCTCTTGTCATCTACCGGGCTCGAACACTCACTCGCTCTTAAACTCTCGCACTCACTCTTGCTAACACTGACTAGCAGTCACGCATATTTTTCACTTACTTTGTAGTGTCTCTCGCCATCCACTTGGATCGAACATTCACTCGCTCTCAAACTCTCGCACTCGCTTGTGCTAGCACTCACTAGCACTCGCTCATGCTTATTGCTTACTTTGTAGTGTCTCTCGTCATCCACCTGGCTCAAACACTCACTCGCTCTTAAACTTTCTCAGTTGCTCTCGCCAACACTTAACGTGTACACTCTTCTGCCCTCGAATCACCAAACCCTAGCATCATGCCCAGGTCATCAAACCCTGCATCGTGTATCATGTCCAGGTCACTAAACCTTAAAGGCCTCACCTTCAAGTCAATAAACCCTGACATCAGACCCAGGTAACCAAACCCTGACATCATGCCCAGGTCATCAAATCCTGCATCGCGTATCGCTTCTAGGTCACTAAACCGTGAAGGCCTCACCTTCGAGTCAATAAACCCTGCCATCAAACCCAGGTTACCTGATGTCGCGTCTAGGTCACCATACCCTGCATCGCGCATCGCATCCAGGTCAAAGCTTAAAGGCCTCACCTTCGAGTCAACAAACCCTGGCATCGCGCCCAGCTGGTTACCAAACCCTAGCATCATGCCTAGGTTATCAAACCCTGCATCGTGTATCGTGTCCAAGTCACTAAACCTTGAAGGCTTCACCTTTGAGTCAATAAACCCTGGCATCAAACACAGGTTACCAAACCCTAGCATCATGCCCAGGTCATCAAACCTTACATCGCATATCGTGTCCAGGTCACTAAACCTTGAAGGTCTCACATTCGAGTCAACAAACCCTGGAATTAGACCCAGGTTACCAAACCCTAGCATCGCTCCTAGGTCACCATACCCCGGCATCACGCCCAGGTCACCATACCCCAGCATCACGCCTAGGTCATCAAATTCGAAGGCCTTACCCTTAAGTCACTAAACCCTAGTATTTCACTAGGTCGTCAAACCTCGCATATAGCACCACTCTCGAGTCATTTATACACGGCTACTCTTTTATGAATTCTACAAAGCTCACCCGCGCAGGGGGACTAAATGTAGGTGTCCAAAATAACTTAGCTCACACGGCCCACATAACTTAGTCAAACAGTCAAAGAACTACGCCACATCATCAACAATGACCAAATAGCTCGGTCAAATAGTAAACAGACTACGCCACATCATAAACGATGGCCCACAAGTCAAACGGTTAACGGACAAAGATAGGTGCTATTCACCACGTTATAGTATACATCGAGCAGAAGATCAAAGACTTAAAGACCTGAGTTGGGAGCAGGATTCAAGATTACCTAGGATCCGAGAGATACTTGGTTCGGTGGCTGAAATCCAAGGCTCATCGAGTCAACCCTCAACCTGCCTTGCAAAGAGAGAAATACCATTTTAACTCCCAACCATATTAACCTCATTTTAATTAATATAACTTTATAATTATTTGAGATATTTCTCTCTTTTAATTTTTATTTATTAATTCATATGTGAGGTCATTAGATGACATCATCCAACCTATCACCTAACCTATATAAGGAAGTGTTCCAAGGCCAAGAGGGGTAGTGCAAAACAGGGAGGAAAACACCTCCTAGACATTAAGAGCTCTCCCATAGGTTGTCTTCACAATCCCTAAACCTTTACCAAGGGAGTCAATGGTGTTTAGTACACTGCCATACTCATTCTCTCTCTCTCTCTCAAGTTTGCATGAGTTTCCACCTCTCTCAATCCATCTCAGATTCTACTGTGTTATGAGTTTGCCTCATCATTTATATATTTTATTGTGTTACGAAAACGAACCCCTTCAAGTTGTTTATCTATACTTTATATTCCACAACTATTCCGCATTGTGCAACTCACAGGTTTCTGCCACTTTGGTAGTCGAGGGGAGTTTCTTGCTCAAAGGGGCATAGTTGAAGGGGGGGTTTCTGCGCTATACCCTTAGTAGTAATGTTAAAAACAAGTATTCAAGAACTTAATATACTGTCCCAAAAAACAAAAAAAGAAAAAAAGGGGGGCCTAGAAGCTAGCTAGGTTCTTAAATATAATCTGCGAATGATCGACAAAATCAAACATGCATGAGTAGCATATTAATGGATATGATAGAAATACATCCACACATACAACTGTTGAGTCCCCAGCTAGCTAATTAAAGTCCTACATGCTCTTACTCTCGAGATACATAATAAGTGAATCGTCCATATATCGATGGAGTAGTAGCTAGCTAGCTAGCTAGTTGATAGAGAAAATTAAGTAATAGAAGCTGGTAGATGCATATATATGAATTAAAGATTGGCAAGCTGCTGTATGTTGATGGGATAAACAACATTTCGATCTCCACTGAAAGCCTTCCTTCCCATTATGATGTTCACTGCTTCGGTTGGGTGGAATGCATCCCAGAACACATACTGATCTCTGTTTAGACATGGTGTTTGGAAAGGAAGACACGTTATTTGCCCACTGTTTCGCCCGATGCCACAGCACCCACGATTTATCACACTGAATCCTGATTAATACGAAATTTCCAAGGAAATAATTAAATTAACAAGAGTAGTACTGCATGCATGAATGAATAATATCTACCCGTAATTGTTTTTTTTTTTTTTTTTTTTTTTTTTTTTTTTTTTTTTTTTTTTTTTTTTTTAATTAAGAGCTAGGTAGTATATATGTTGATGGAGGAGACATGCAAATGGTAGGAACGGTATGCATATATATATATATATATACCATAAGATCTATAGTTTGCAAGGATATCTTGGAACATATTGTGAATGTCAATGAAAATGATCTGGATGCCTGGGAGATTGGTGTTGAGGTTGTTAATCATGGCCTTCATGTTGTAATTGAAAGGTAAAACCAGTTGGTTCACTTCAGCCGAGCAGCGACCCGTGGTTTGTTGGGCGAGTATGCTAGGTATGCAACCCATTAGTCCAAGACCTGCAAGTACAAATTTCCGACCTCCAAGATTGTACAAGCGCTGTACATGTACATGTACATGTACGTAAATTATTAATAACAATAATTAACAATTAGAGAGTATGAAGTATAGGAATTAATTAAGCATATATGAATACATACAGTGAGTTGTTGAGTGTATTGTTGAATCAATAGATTTGCATATTGTTGGCCATCATACTGATTGCGAGTTGGGTAATTGGGCATGAGATAGTTGTTTAAGTAGTCATTGCTGCCCATCCCCACGAAGAATATGCACCGTGAAAGCGCCTGAGCCACATTCGCTGCACCCAAGTTGTTGCTTATTTGATCCAATGTGCTCTCGAAATTCCTTATTTGCTCATTGAATGGTATGCGACCAACCTATAGATATATATATATGCCACAGAAATAATATAAATAAATCATAAATTACATATATATATATAACTAGTTGGTTATCTGATCCAATGTGCTCTCGAAATTCCTTATTTGCTCATTGAATGGTATGCGACCAACCTATATATATATATATATATATATATATAACTAGTACAGCAAGCTAGGGTATACATATACTATAATTCTGAATAATTCTTACAAAATTTCTTCCTGTTATGTCAAGGATTCCAGCAGCTGCTGAGGCAAAATTGACTCCATGAAGTATTTGATCTCCAGAGGCTTCAGAGTAGGCAGGAATCAGAGGGAGTCCTAAGAGTTCAGCTACATTAACATGCACAAATTAATTAACATACATGTTATTTCATTTCATTTTTCATAGTTTGTACAAGTTTGCTAACTCAAAAAATAAACCGTGCATTAGGGATATGAGATTCGAAGTTTGTTAAATTAAATACTCCACCCCAAAAAAATAAATAAATAAAATTTAGTTGGACCAGTTTTTTCTCCATTGTACGTGTTGGCAAGCCTACATTTATAAGAATAATTAATGGCTATTGTAACTAAGCCAAAAAAAAAGACATTTTAATTTGTGTAGGTATTATTTTGTTTACTTAGCAAACTAAAAGCAACATAGGGCTACAGGCAGATCCTTCTAAATGCAAAATATGATTTTATAATATTATCAAGAGTAGTCTTAATTTCCTACTCTTTGGGACAGACAGAGAGAGAACCATAGCATATATGCTTCCTCCAAGATCTACAGTACAATAAATAAAGGAACAGGAGAAGAAAAGGAAACAAATTAAATTAAACTAGCTGCTTCAGGCCTCCAGCCAAGATCTAGAGTGAGAAAGAAAGATGATATATATATATACACACACACACATACCAATTTCATCAACCATGGTGTAACCATTGGAGAAGCGACCAGTAGGACCACCATTGAAATCGATGCCGTAAGGGTAATAGTTGGCCTTGGCAAGAGAAGGGAGGTTGTTGTTATTGCCATTGTCAATCAGAGAGTCTCCAAATATAAACATGGCGGGAACCATCTCTCTCTTACTAGCACTCCTATCTTCTTCTTCTGGTGCAAATGCTTCTTCATCTTGCCCCAACACTACTTGTACACTACTACTCATCAACAAAACAAACAACCAACAAAACTTGTACTTCAACTTATAATCCATCCTTCCCTTTTCCTTTTCCTTTTCCCTTTTCTTTTCTGTGTATCCAACCAAGTATGTGAAGATCTAGCTTTGATATATATATATATATATGTGGTTAAATATTGCTTACTAGTACTATAGAGTTGAGTATACAGTTTGCGATCCAGTGTGTTTTAATATAGCTAGCCCTAGTAATGAATGTGTTGGTTGGAAAGAAATAAATGCCTTCACCGGTAATTTCCCATGGCAGTAAATGCCTTGTAATTTCATCATTTATGCTGCCATTTGTTTAGGAATTAATTTACACTTAAACACCCCACGTTAACTTATTAGACAATTTGTTCTGCATCATAGTTATATTTTTATTCATTCAACTGAACTAGTAATAAATAGTTCATTATATGTGCTACTTCAGTATTTTTGGTGGGAGGCCGGTACTGCATTAAATTTGATTCTTAATTTTTTAAATCCACCTTCCCTCAACAGGTAGCATGCATGGAAAATTAATTGACTTGCTTTGGGAATTTCCAATGCATCTCCAAACCCATTTTTTTTTTTTTTTTTTTTTTTTTGCACCAATAACATCTCCAAATTCAATTCTTCAATTTTGTGGCATCATTATTTTTGAAAACCCACCTCAATCTTTTGGACTTTTTAATTTTAGCTAATGACGGTAACAGTAGTGCGACTTCTCGAATCCCCCCTTACCTCATTATCAGAATGTTAAAAAGTTGCATAAGAGCAAGACTTGCTTCAGTTAAGCTTAAGTGTTGTACAGATGTGAGGAAAATCAAATTCAATGGTGGAATTGCAGGAGTTATTTACACAAGGCTGCTCTTTTGCTCATGGTCAACATTTTCTTTTGGATTAAGATAGATTGCAAAGCTGCAACAACCAGTTTGATGTGTTGGATTTGGATAGCTGAATACAGTGAGTAATGGTCACTGGTTTAGTGGCTGCTGTGTTTTTGTTTTTTTTTTTTTTTTTTTCGAAAGGTAAGATATATTGATAATGCAACTGTACACGACCCAAGCAGAGCAATAGCCCAATACAACATACGAGCCCAAGGCTGTCAAAACATTGGCCCAAGCCCATCAATAGTCACCAAAGTTGAACAAAGACAATGATAGTCTACAAAACCCTAGATTAAAAGCTTGTCTACGCCAACAAAAGAATACAGTCTGGTTCGGAACAATGACTGAGAGAAGCTAAGCCGCTAAGCACACTCCTCCTGTAATCAATCCGGCGGCTCCGCCGGTGGTCTGATGAAGGCTCCGGGGAGTCCCCAATCGACGACTACTCTCGGTGCCGTTGTAGAGTCCTTCACTTTCATAGAGAAAAGGCATTATTTGACCATGTCCATCGTCTCCTTGAGGATTTGTGATTGTGATTTCCTCTTCCTTTTGAAAGCTCGATCATTTCGTTTAGTCTAGATCCTATTGATGAAGGTGGAGAGGGTAAGTTTGTTGATTGAGTTCTGTAGATTTCTCTGCTTCCAACGGCGCAATGCCTAGAGAATGAAATCCATCCAAGATGGAGGGGTTTGAAATCGGCACTTCATTTTGAAGAAGGTCCAAATTGGTGATGAAAATGGGCAAGAAAAAAATAGATGCTCATGCGATTCCGGACAAGAAAGATAGAGATGGCAGAGGCCGGCGCCAAGTACTGACTGCATACAATTCCGATCAAGGGTAGATAACCGGCCCTGCACAGCAAGCCAAAGAGAAAACATGCACCGAGGAATGGAGAAATTGTTCTAGACCAGGTGGTGCCAAGTTACCGGTAAGAAGTGAGGAGTAAGCCATCCAATTGTGAATCTAAGAGAAAAGGTTCCGTCCTGTGATGGGATCCAAAGATGTTCATTAGCTGAAGTGGAAGGTGGATCGATCAACAAGAGCTCCGGAAATTGAAGAATGCATTCTTTTGGAAAGTCCCAAACGCCATTTGTCACAAGTGTGGAGAGCTTCAGTCCTTGCAAAATTGGTGAGTTTCTAATGAAATCTGTCGTGGTGCGTAGAGTAAATGGACCATTAGGAAGCCAATTGTTATCCCAAAAGTCTGTCGAAGCCCCATTCCCAACTTTGACCCGGATCATCGACCTAACCACCCCTCTTAGGTGTAACAGCTTCTTCCAATTTCCTGAGCAGGCTTGGGGGATGTTCAAAGTCCAGAGATAACGATCCCTAACAAGCTGAACCCTTATCCATCTAGCCCAGATATTGTCCATATGCATAGCACTGACATTCCACAGATGCTTCAGACAAGCTGCAATGTTAACAACCTCCATGTTCCTAAACCCCAAACCTCCACAAACTTTAGGTCGGCAGACATTAGCCTATGTGACTTTGGCGCCTGTGTGCTTAAGTTCATTCCCTGACCATAGGAAATTCCGAAGTAGACAATTGATTTCATTAATGACAGATTTAGGGTGAATGAATAAGCTAATCCAGTAGTTTATCACGCTGAAAAGAACTAATTGAATGAGTTGTAATTGACCTGCATATGATAAAAGGCTTGATGACCAGTGAGTGATTTGCCTAGTGATTTTCTCGACTAGCCCCCTACAGTGGATAGCTTTAAGTGATGTAGATATAAGCGGAACACCTAGATACTTGAATGGCAACTCTCCTCGATCAAAGCCCAATAGTGTCCCAATATCATTAGCCATGTCTAAGCTAACACCAGAAACAAAGAAGTTACTCTTGGAAGGATTGATGCATAGCCCAGAAAGTGCAGAGAAGTGATCCAGTGATCTCTTGAGTGTGTCAATGGAGGCAAGTATTGGGATTTATATGCCCTGGCAAAGCAAATTCCTATTTGGATTAAAGTGACATAAGTTCCTGACGTTTCTGAAATATTTATGTTTTTATACAATTGGTGAATTCAATGTATTATGTTTCGATTCATTATAGAATTGATAGTGTCCACTTGATTACAAGAGATATTTATATATGTATGTGATGGCGATCAATACATGAATATAAATAGTAATCATAAATAGTTTATAGTCGGTAATTATGGATGGACTCATAATTAATTAAGACTTGAAATGGATCTGCGTTAGGTTGAGATATATTGCGAAAGCCGTCGTATGCAATTGCTCCCTCTCACCGTCATGGCATTTGACTCTTAAGCATGAGAAAATTATAGACTGTTTTATTAATTAATAATTACTTTGATTTGTTCAACGGATTCTTCGGGATCCTTAGACCGACACTTTGGGTAGTTATGTAATTAATAATTAGAGGATTATATTTTCAATATTTGTATCATTGCTACTTGTATTTATTTTGTATTGATTATGGTTGATCACAAAGTAAATTCGAAGGCCTTCGTATGTTTTTAGACAAAATGATTTATTATATATTTATTTATTTAAATTATTATTTTTGTTAAACAAATGTTTTATTGTGATCGAGCCAGAAATAATCAATGGTACCAAAATAAATATATTAATTAAGTAGTCGGATTGATAGCTTTATCTATCCGATAACTAATTATGCATAGAGAGGTCAAAGTGCAATATTGACTTAGAGGTTATTTATTATTTAATTGGAGTTCAATTAATTTCTTTTAGTGGAGTAGAAATTAATTTATGAATTGATTGAATTGGGTTCATGGACCGGGCCAATTATTAATTCATTGTAGCCAATAAAATAATAAGCCCAAATGATTCTCACTCATAGCCCAACTTGGTATTTGAATCATATTAGATTTGAGACATGTGAATTAGAGATTGAGAAGGATTTGTTGTTTCCTTTTCTTTATCTTTATGTTGCCTATAAATATACATGGTCTATGTATATTTTAGGGGGATTTTTTGGAAGAAGGAAAAAGGAATCTATTTTCTCTCTCTAGAAAATTAGGGTTTATGTTCTCATCTAATAGAGGGTCCCACAAGCTTAGTTTTCCAAGGTCATTTATGGAGGCTTATAAGTGATTACTAAAGGCAAAACAATTACCAAGGAGATGGAGATCCAAGGAGAAGGCATCTTGCTAAAGGATCTACAATAAATGAGAATATTCACTTTAGAGGAAAGATTTAAAGGTTTACTCAGACCTTTGATATAAGTATTCAATCTGTTACTTGAATGATACATCATATTTTATTTTTTGCATAAAACTTGTCTCTATGTGATGAATCAAGATCTATGAATCAAAATCCCTCAAAAAGTTTTTAAAACTAGCACGTTTCCCGACAGTGGTATTAGAGCATGGTTTGATTCATTACTAGAGATCATGTTTTTATCAAAATCATCATCATGGATTTAAATTATATATATATATATATATATATATATATATATATATATATATATATATATTGATGTATGATTTAATATATTGATACATGATGATGTATGTATAATTGTGAATGGATGATGATGTGTGTTTGGGCCATGGATGAAGCTTATAGGTCAATTGAATGTAATTTTATCTTTGGATGAATGTAATTAAGGCTTTGATTTAGCCGTTTGAAAGTTTAATGATGTAATTTAATTTTTTTTTCATTGTATTTCAAATTGTAAATATTTTTAAAGCCATGTAATTTTCATCAAAGGATGCTATGAAGCTTCAAGAAGGTCCAAGAGGGTTAAATTAGGCTTCAGTAATTTTCTGGAATTTTTCAGGAATTTTTTGGGCTTAAATTTAATTTTCTGGAATTTTTTAATTATTTTCGGCGGTTTTCCGGCAACTTTCCGGCGACCAGAGTGGCGCCGGCAGTAAAGGAGATGCCGGAAAGGAGATGGCCAATCCAGTGCAATGCGGTGCACCAGAATTAGGTGCAACCGCATGTATCATCCATCAGATCAAGAAGATAAGAAGAAATGATCTAGTGAGACGCAGAAGCGGTGCAATCATGCACTAACCTACTAGCTGGCGCGTGTTCCTCACGCGCTAGTCCCTGCCAGCACACCAGGCGTGTGGTAGCGCGTGCCATGCGCTGGTGCATTCAACCTGTGCGTCCAGGCGCGTGGGCGCGCGTGAAGGCGCATGCCACGCGCTACAGCACCTCCCAAGCGCGTGTGAGCGCGTAGAGGCGCATGCCACTCGCTGCTTCATCCCTCAGGCCTGTGCCAGTGTGCGTGGGGTCTTTCGGGCACGTCCTAAGCGCCGTTTTACCTTTTTAGAG